AGGGGGTCAAATGGGGGTCGAAAAATGACGTTTTTTAAACAAAAAGCTCCGTCTTCCCTGAACTCCTCTTACATTTTACTTAGCAGCCAAATCACCTTTTGGGGGATGGTTGTTGGTGTCATGTAGATGTGCAGTAAGGTTTCAGAATTTTGATTTTGCCCCGGGGGGTCAAATGGGGGTCGAAAAATGACGTTTTTTGTGCAAAAAGTCCCGTCTTCCCTGAACTCCTTCTACATTTTACTCAGCAGCCAAATCACCTTTTTGGGGATGGTTGGTGGTGTCATGTAGATGTGCAGTAAGGTTTCGGAATTTTGATTTTTCCCCGGGGGGTCAAATGGGGGTCGAAAAATGACGTTATTTATGTAAAAAGCCCCATATACCCTGAACTCCTCTTACATTTTACTTAGCAGCCTAATCATCTTTTGTGGGATGATAAGTGGTGACATGTAGATGTGCAGTAAGGTTTTGGAATTTAGATTTTGCCCCGGGGGGTCAAATGGGGGTCGAAAAATGACGTTTTTTGTGCAAAAAGTCCCGTCTTCCCTGAACTCCTCTTACATTTTACTCAGCAGCCTAATCATCTTTTGGGAGATGGTTGGTGGGGTCATGTAGATGTGCAGTAAGGTTTTGGAATTTTGATTTTGCCCCGGGGGGTCAAATGTGGGTTGAAAAATGACGTTTTTTGTGCAAAAAGCCCTGTCTTCCTTGAAGTCTTCCTTAATGTTACTCAGAAGCCTAATCATCTTTTAGGAGAGTTAAATATTTTTAAAATTATGTAAAACATCAACGTCAAGGGGTAACAAGATGTGTTTGTGAAACACTATGCGCCCGGCGTCAACAAAGTTCAAAAAAGCTATTTTTAGCATATAGTTCACAGTCAAGGTCACAAGGTCATTGACCTTGGTGTTATTTGTAAGAACTTAATTAGTGGGGTATGCATACTAAATATGAAGTTCCTATCTCCTATAGTTCAAAAGTTATGGCAAAAAGTAGAAAAAGCTATTTTTAGTATAAAGGTCACAGTTAACTTCACATGGTCATTGACCTTGATGTTGTTTGAAAGAACTTTATTAGTGGAGTATGCATACTAAATATGAAGTCCTTATCTCTTATGGTTCAAAAGTTATGGCAAAAAGTGGAAAAAGCTATTTTTAGCATATAGGTCACAGTCAAGGTCATTGACCTTGATGTCATTTGAAGGAACCTAATTAGTGCAGTATGCATACCAAATATGAAGTCTCTATCTTCTATGGTTCAAAAGTTATGGCAAAAAGTGGAAAAAGCCATTTTTAGCATATAGGTCACAGTCAAGGTCACAAGGTCATTGACTTTGATGTCATTTGGAAGAACCTTTTTAGTGGAGTATGCATACCAAATATGATATGGTTCAAAAGTTATAACAAAGTTGAAAAACCTATTTTTAGCATATAGGTCACAGTCAAGGTCACAAGGTCATTGATTTTGATGTCATTTGAAAGAACTTTATTAGAGGAGTATGCATACTAATTATGAAGTCTCTATTTCTTACGGTTCAAAAGTTATGACAAACAGTTGAAAAACCTATTTTTAGCATATAGGTCACAGTCAACGTCACAAGGTCATTGACCTTGATGTCATTTGAAAGAACTTTATTAGAGGAGTATGCATACCAAATATGAAGTCTCTATCTCTTACGGTTCAAAAGTTTTGGCCAAGGTTAAAGTTGACAACAGACAAACAGATAAACAGACAAACAGACAGGACAAAAACAATATGCGCCCCGAAAAAATTCAGGCGCATAAAAAAACATTGCATGCTGGGAAACACCTTGAATTCTTATGAGTAATTTATGTACATGTCAAATGTGAGAGTCATATCTCATCTCAATCAAAAGTTATAAGCAAATGCAACATTTTTGAAAAGTAGGTTAGGCTTGATCACTTCAAGGTCAAGGTCACAGTGTAAAAGTCATGATTTATTTGGAAAGGTCTTATCACAGGTAAATATACATGTACATGCATTATGATATGAATGCCCTAACTTTTCTCTTTCAAAATGATGAATTTATAACAATTTAATTTTTTTGCAAGTTGGTCAAACTTCTAGGTCACATGTAAAAAAAAAAAAAAACCATGCCATTCTCACAGGTAAATATACTAATACATAAGTTTAATATGAATGTCTCTTCTCATTCAGTAGATATGACCGTGATAACCAAGGTTAAATTTATTGAGACAGATGGACTGAGTCTGACATACAAATGTACATATTTCTATATGAATTAGGTAAAATTGGCCCAGGCAGTGGTTCTAGAGAAGTTAAAAATGTAAAAAGTTTTCAGACAAACAGATGGACAACATGTCACGACAGACATTATATGCTAAGGAAACCAAAAAAAGCTCAAATGAGTGTTTTGAAAGGGTTACAATATGGTTGGAGTATTTGAAAAGCTGTTTTTTTTCCTGCAGAGATATGCATGACCAACATATTCATGTTTTATATTTTCTTTAGTGATTTGTTTGTTTATTGTGAATACATCTTCCCTCATATGGAGACACCACCAAATAATAATGAAGATAAGATGTGTTTGTGAAACACTGATGTCCCAGTATGGAAGCCTACGGCGAAGGTTGAAGTTTCTCAAATATATGTCAAAATCAAAGGTCAAGGTCAAAGGGTTCAAATTGTTAGTATCAGAAGAAAGTCTTCTCACAAGGAATGCACATGTGAAATAAAGAAATCCCTAGTAATTCCTGTTCAAAAGTTAATTGCCAAGGTTAATTTTTTTGTTTAAGTGGTTCAAACTCTAGGGTCAAGGTCAAACATATTTATACCTGTTGACAGTTCACAATGAATACAATATGCCATGATAAGTATGAAAGCCCTAGCACCTACTGATCAAAATTAAGGCAGAGTTTATAGTTTGGTATTTTTCTTGTAAAAATGTGTATCCCATGTCAAGCAATCAGAGGTAAAAATTAATGGTACCCAAATAAAAGGTCTTATTAAATTGTCACAAGAAATAAACCTATAAAATGTGGAAGCTATTTGTATAGCCCATCCCACTTAAAACTTATGGGCAAGCTAGCTAGGATTTAATTTCTGCAGACTTATAGACAGACATACTATAAACACAAGAACAAAATATGTATAATAATTAGTCAAATGGAAAAAAATATACTATTTAACTGGAATAACAAAATACATTGTTATTTCAAGGACAGGAAGTGGGTAAGAAGATTGGAATCCCCCCCCCATCTGGCATTTGCTTTGTTATTTAAACAAGACTATATACTGTAGCAAGTAAAAAATGACTCTTGACATCCTCTCCCTATAAACTTAGAAAACATTGACCTCACTATCATTGTTTTTTTTTTTTTGTTTATTTGTTTTCATTTTTTTTCTCTTGTCACGAAATTCTGGGCTGGAATTTTTTGACTGAGATGTGAACCCCCCTCCCTACTCCCGAAAAAAATTCTGGATCCGCACCAGTATTGGCAGTAACTGAATGTCACATCGACAACGGGAGATAACTTCACAATATGAAATTCGTCTAGTGTGGCATGCGATGATCTTTCACCCTTTTAAAACTTTAACCTAATAGTTTGGGTGTATTTTACCCCCCACTATACTAAAACTTCTACTTACCGACTCCCTGTGTCTCAACTTCATGAAATATAAATCCAATTATAACTCAAAATGAATTAATCCAATGCACACCAGACTGCAGCCACGTGCCATTTTGGCGAACCTTCGTCGATTCCATCACCTTATCAGATGAAGTGGGAATCGGCCGAGGTGTGCCAAATGGTGTTTAATCTATAAATATGATAATGGGTGACGCAACGTGATGTGATGTAGAAATTTACATGTTCACATGTATAGTACAAGAACAAATTTTAAATTAATTCATAACAAACGATATTAAATTTTAACAAACCTTTTCCATCTAGCCTATTCCAAAAAGTATGTGCTGTGTGATTGTGGTGTCGAGGGGGGGGGGGGGGGGGGGGGGGGGGGGGGGGGGGGGGGGGGGGGGGGGGGGGGGGGGGGGGGGGGGGGGGGGGGGGGGGGGGGGGGGGGGGGGGGGGGGGTGGGGGGGGGGGGGGGGGGGGGTGGACCTCAGTCAAAAAAAAATCCTATCCCAGAAATTGACAATCAAAAAAAAAAACCTAAAGTAAATCTCACCCAAACGTCAAAAACCTATATCGTGGGGGTGGGGTGGGAGTAGTGGTGACTTCTATTGCCGCAAATGTTTAACTTTTCATACTTATTTTACACATATTCGTGTTTACCAGTGGGGGGATCGGCATTTTCCAAGGGGGGTCCATTGTAACTTTTTCCTTGTTTTAGTATATACATTTTTTAACCTTGTAAATTCCAGGGGGGGGGGGGGGGTCCTGACCCCCCCCCCCTACACATCCGTGCATGAATTTACATCATTAATAGAATTCAGACTGGTATATAATGAATTAAACATGTATAAAATAAATATAAGAGGTTCTGAGTTATAGGTCACAGGGTCTGAGAATTTCATACTCAATTTGATGAATACATGTAAATTATAGAATTATTTTGACTATTTCTTTGGAAAGCCGCCCAATATGTAGGAGCGTGTATTTAGAGGCAAACACCTTAGTGCGGGTATTACTGTCTCATGACAGCATCTAGTTTAATTTTTTTCCCCAAGTGATTTATGTTGTAAGTAAAAAAATATATCGAAATTGACAGAATGTGCTTAATGAAGTTTGGCGCATGTATATAAATCCCCAAGGATTTAATTTAATCAAAAATCATTTTATTTCAATGGAATATATTGCAGTAGATAAAAAAATCAAATCTATAATATATAATGAAAATGAATTATTTGGCCTCTAGTGCCCCCATCATGTCCATACCGGTTCTTTGGGTCCGTTCGATGCTCCACCACATCATGTCCATATTGGCTCTTTTGGTCCGTTCGATGCTCCACCACATCATGTTAATACTGGCTCTTTGGGTCCGTTCGATGCCCAACCCCATCATGTCCATACTGGCTCTTTGGGTCCGATCGATGCTCCGTCATTGAATTCGTACTCGTCTACTCCCATCAGCAGCCTCACTTCTCTCTGTTTGGCAATTTCTGGGAGTTCCGTTAATTCTCTGATGCCTTCTCGTCCAGTCGGGTGGTATTCCGGAAACGTGGAGACCCCCTGACTTGGCCAGTGAGTGGTCATTAAAAGATGTTCATATGCTTCTCTTTTGATTTTGATATCGGATTGTTTTGCCCATTTTGCAGGCGTCATACAAACAAATACCACGTGACGCCACCTATCAGAACGAGGTCGACCCTCTACTGGTCTTGCATTGTCGTGAACCAGTCTAGAATCCCAGAGCACCATGCCACCTCTGGGTACAGGCACTGTTGTCGCCGGACATCCGCGGTCTTTATACCAGTCAATTTCTTCTTGCGTTAGTTCATAATATTCAAATGCGCTTGACTGTCTGGCTGCCAGTGAAAAATTGTCGTAAAAATCTTTGATCAGTTTGTGGGATCCCTTCAACACGCGAAAGCAGTGGTCGCTGTCTGAAGATTCCTCTAAGTACACGCCACTCTGATATGCATGAAGACCTTGTCTCTTTGACCCTTGGTCTAAATGAAGAAACGTCTTTTTGGTTCTAAATTTTGGGCGATCTGGATAAAATAATGAAAGCTTCGAAATGATAACAATAAAGCTAAAATAAGCCCGTTAAAAAACCGTCAATAGTTTATTTGTGTACAGGGGGTGGGTTGATTATTTTATCTATGTGCTAAGTTTCATAACTTTTTGCTATCGTATATCATAACGACAATATTTTAATATTGAAACAAAGGCTTCATATAGAACTGATCGGTACCTGGCATCATTTCGGGGGGTGGTGATACGGCCACTCCATCCACGCTGGACAGTAACTTTTCAGTCTCCCATAACTCGCTGAAGACGTGTTTGACTTTAAGACGAACTGCCCATGAGGCGTGGAAGTGACCAATCCTGTAGGACTGTACCAGGGACTCAAAGCTACCGAACGTCTTATTGTTATCTTTGTATTGGTGGACCCAGTCTTTGAATTCGTCGCTGTATCGCCGACAGTCCTCCTCTGAAAGAACCCCCTCCACCACTGAAAATCCTTGATCATCAAGCTCCGCTAAAATCCTATCCCTGAACATATAGAGTAAAGGAGATGTGAAGAAAGAAAAAATGCATAATTTTTGCTGATTATTCTGACCCTCCATACACCCCCTTTCGAGAAATCTGACACATACCCTGTACGTATATCCATTTCCTCTAGGAATCTAGTAATCTTAAAGTATGATTATTTAAGGAATCACTGTCTAGTTAGCATAGTATGCCAGGGCATCAACAATAGTGGGAAACATGGGATAATTTGCATAACGGGCGAAGCCCGTTATGCATAAATTTAGTAACATTAACTATTAACTATTTAGTAACATTACTAATGTTTTGCTGAAAAGGAATAAAAATTCGATGTTGGATCGCTGAGTGAAATGTTGGATCGGTCGATGAGATTTCGACCGGTCCAACATCTCACTCAGCGGTCCAACATCAATTTTTTATGCCCGCTCAGGAAAACATTAGAAATGTTAGACTTTTTCGTATAGATTTGCATAGGAACAAATTTTTAAATGTATAACAATACACTGTTAGGCTACACATAATACAGGATACATAATTCTCTTCTTATGAATGGCGTTGACTTGGTTACTAAACTATAAACTGTGAAAGTCCGCTTAAAAACGCTACTCCTAGTACAGTTTTTTTCCGAAATGCAATTAAAATTGAATCAGAAAGAGTTTAAACGAAAGATCATTACTTGTATTTATTTATTGCCGTCACCATTGTATCAAGTCTATGTTATTCAAAGTTTGAAAACAAAGAGGCCCATGGGTATGGACCACACCGCTCACCTGAGAAACTTTGTTCTTTACAGATTCCATTTTGTAATACATATTGTGGCCCCGCCCTATCCCCGGGGGTCATGTTTTGAATAATTTAGAATCTACTCAGCCCAAGAATGCTTCCATAAATTTCAGCTTTACTGGCCCAGTGGTTCTTGAGAAGAATTTAAACTATAATTTCTTAACCACTGTGCCAATTTTAACCAAACTTGGTACGAAGAATCCTTGTGTAAAGAACACGTTAAATTCTTAAAGTGAAGGGTCATGTCCCCTTACAAGGCGAGATAATCAAGGAGAGACAAAAATAGGGCGAAAAATCTTATAAATGAATCATTGGGTCAGAAAGGCTGAAATTTATGTGAAAGCATCCTTGGGTAACGTAGATTCAAAATTGTTGAAAATGTGAAAAATTTACAGACGGACGGACGACGGACAATGGGTGATCAGAAAGCTCACTAGAGCTTTCAGTTCAGGTGAGCTAAAAGTATAAAACCCAGTTATTCTCAGTAGAGCTACAGGGGCTTCTAGTTAAACGTTAATAAATGGTAAACTAATAAATTAAAAAATACAAATGGACCAGTGTATAATCATACCTATCCATTCTGTAAGTCTTCGAGTTACTGTAAATTTTTACTGGTGGGTGTCTTCATATGTTTAATTTAGGAATGATGTCATCGTATTTTGAACTTATTTTTAGACATTTACACGGAAATGACATCTCGACAGAATGCTGGAAAGAACGACAACTCTGCATGGGAGACTGATTATTAAACAGCAGAGAACCGAGCAGGATAAACACAAAAGAGTTATCTTTCCTTGTAGGCTTTCAAGTAGGGTACCTGCGCGGCTGACTATCTTTTCCTCGAAATCGGAAATGTAAGTTTTTGTAGCGTTTATTTTGTAAAATCAGTGACAAGAGTTGATTTTGAACCATGTCAGATAATTTAAGGCATGTTTTCTTTCCCACTAACTGGTATGTAGCCTACCGATATTTTCTGACATGATTTCATCATTGTTCATTATAATACTTCCGAATTTCCTCAGATATACTCACTGGAGTGGATAACCCATTTTTGTATTTTGTATGCATGAAACATTGTCATTCGTGTTGTAGACAAAATAGAGTATTCTAGCAATAACAGGCAATTTTTAAAATAATTTTGAAACCACACTTATTTTACATCAAAAGAAAGGTCAGTTAACAAGGATTTCAATGGTGTAAAGGTTATTCAGATTGGTCAATGTACAAAAAAGATATAAGTATTTGAAATTCAGTAGCATTTCGTGTTTTCTGCCAATTTTTCGGTTGTAAAAAAAATTAATAATAACACTTGAAGAAATGTAAATTGATATTCATTTTAAACAATTTTAAATAATGACAGCATTTACTGCTGATTTTACTCTGAGAATCAAATGCAAAATCTATTAAACTTTTGTTTTCAAGCCCCTGATTCCAGATCATTTTTCAGTTTATAAGTATAAATTGTAGGATCTTCGGAATTATACTTAATGTTATACCAAATAGGGAAACCAGGCACTTAGTAAGAAAACATATACTTTTAATGAAGTACACATCAGCAAAGAATATTATTTAGATTTTGTTATAATACTCATGGATTTTAAATTATTATATCTTTAAATATGTTGTTATAAAAATGTATTATTAAATATTGCAAAATAATATTGTTAGAATATTTTTATTTCTTTTTTGCTGAAACAATTTGATTAAAATATAAATCTAATATTTAAACAACACTTCAAAAGTATTAGCATTCATTGTTTTTATTTTGAGCAATTCAAAATTTTAAAAATAATGCTAATCTAGCTGTACGATATACTGGTACATGTGTATAAATCTGATAAAAAAAATTCCTGAAAAAGAAATTCCACGTATGAACTCGAGGTCCTCTTAATCTGTTCAATCACTTGATATTCTGTTATAAAAATTGTGTAAAAGAAATATATGAATTTAGAAAAATGAAAACATATAGATCTATTATAATAATTATAATTATCCATACATTACACCAATTACTGCAAATGGTATCCTAAAGTTGTAGAATGCAGTGATACTTATCAAAGTTCATAGATCTGATTCATTAAAATCATGCATTTTATTTACTTTATTATCTTTTTTTAGCATTGTAAGAATATAACAGCTTGAGATTGACATTGATCAACAAATATACAACTTAGAAATAATGCCTCCTCAGAATCTCCGATGTTGCGCGGGAATTTCAGTTATCTGCCCCTGTTAAAAATGTCGACGTTTTTGTAAAGCATAACTGGTTAAAGCTCATTGCGCACCTATGCGCAACGATTTATTTCAAGAAACTATATACCAAATGAAAGAAAAATGATTTCTCCTTCTGTTTATTGCTGTCAAAGTATTGTCGAAACGAAGTTGAACACGATATGTCATCTACTTTCGCTTTAAATTTCTATTTATGGGACTTGATCTACGTACCCAAGATATTTTTGAAATCTGTATCATTTCAGCCTTCGTAAAACATTCATATGACTGTCTAATATCACGTGCTTAAGCATTATAATGCCTATTTATAACATCAGGGTTTTCTCACATAATGGCCGCCATTACGTCTTTGTTATCTATATAACCGTGCGAGTATCTCGTGTTATGCATTTTTTTTACGCACTTTTGTCAGGAATCGATGTATGTATTATCCAAAATGGTCTTTTAACTTTTAATCTGAATCAAGAAATTAAAGTATGCACAGAAATTTAAGCTGTTAATTCACTTATAAACATGACCTATTTAGCATGGAGCAGAATAGGAAAGTGCCATAACTCGCGCATGCCTGTCATTGCTAAGTATTCCATGCAGTTTAGCATTTAATTAAACTTGCGTAAAATTAAAATCAAAATTTAAAACAATTTTTTTAAATAATTTAAATTGAGCTAGTACTAATCAGGTCCAGTGCAATCAGTACATTTAGCTACGTAGGTAAAATTACAAACAAACATTTACCAAACAAACTTGATTTAGCTACCAAATGAATTTCTTTCTATAAAAAAGCATTTTTCTCAGGATGTGCAAAAACTATCATTTTGATGCAGTGATCATTTTCAACTTTGAACTCATCTGAAAACAATTCATGAAAATTTCCCTCTTGAAGAAATGTCTTTTTCTGCGCACGGACAGATAACCAAACAATGGAATTACATGTTTTGCCCTAAACTGACCAAACACAGCGATGTTTAAACTATCTCTGCTTTGGAATGTTTTTTAAAGTCTCCCTAGTATAAATATCAATAGTCATTTAACTGCGATTTTTTGTCTCTTTTCCATAAAAAGAAAAGTTACATTGAAATAGCTAAATAAAGCTACCTGAGGTAGGTAAATAAAGCTACGTAGGTAATTCTACCTACGTAGCTAAATGTACTGATTGTACTGGACCTGCTAATATCAGCTCAGTATGTACATAATATTAAGATTAATATGTTTTACGGTGTGACCGTTCAGGCGAGCGCAGTAAATGTACCTTCAAAAATACACCTGAAACCTTGATCCGCCACTTCAAACGTCAAGTCGCACAAGATATCAAGACTGTGACGTCACATGAAAGCTCGATCGTCATGGTTTAGGGAAACAGCCGAGCGTCTAGTTGAAACTATAGACCTAGTGCAATTTTTTGTCGAAAGACATTGCAGAGTTATTTGTTGTTTCTTTTAAAAGATTTCTACAAACTGAAAGCCTTTTATGCTTGATGTTATTATTTATTTATTTATTCGCGCAAAGGGTATTGGGTAGTAAAGGAATTCTGGGAAGGTTTCACACGAAAAATTTGCCTGATGTAGGTACAAATTTCATTCTGAATTTCCTCTGTTCTTACACGTTAGTCTATTGAGCTCGCTGCGCTCGCTATAAGAAATTAGCCTAAATAAGGTATCATGTTTAAACATCTGGCTATAAAAATACGGGTGATCACAAGATCAAATTCCATAAAGCCCCAAGGGAATTATGGCAAATTTGATCTTGTACCAACCATTATTTATAAACTAACAGATGTTTTAAGATGATACCTTATTACTGTTACTTACATTTGTTTCTTATGCATATTATGATGATATTTTATATTTACCTGATTATGACGCATATGGAATCCATTTATTGCGCCCCAATCTAATTAAAATTAGATGTTCCGAATCCGCTATCGCTTCTTTGAACATCTAATTTTAATTAGATTGATTGCGCCCCAACCCTATGATACTCAATGACATCACTGAAAAATTACGTCAAATGTTTATGATGTGAGGAACCTTGTTGTA